AGAGGACGCTCTTTCGACGTACCTGCAACCTGAACTTTTGGCCACGCGGTCTAACTTGCTTTGTTTGATTCCATGGTTCTTCATGCTACCACCCCCAAACCTCTTCCCCACTGCCGACTTGCAGCAGACTTGAGGCCGCGCGGAGTGTCCGATCGTTTTCGAGTGCAGCTGCCAACACTGTTCAACAATACAGTTTTTGCGGACTTATGCACCTTTCCGTTCCCTCGCCTTCCTTCCCAACGTGGTAACTGAGTTCACTGAATACAAGTGTCAGAGTGTGTGTTTGTGTCGGTGTGTGCTGGGAGCATCGAGTTTTGCACAACCTCTCCTGTGAGAACATGTCTGAACTTACTTGCCTGCTGTGAGATCTGTGCCAGTGCAGGAGTCCACAATTCAACTGACTTGTGTTCATGTGGATGCTGAAGCCAACTTGTTGGAAGCTCTTGAAGCTGCAACTGCTGCGCACGGGGCTGAATGTTGGTTTGAAGAAGATGAGAAGTTCATAGACGCCAAAAAGAGTTCCAGATTTGTGCACGTAAATCCGCTGAACATATAGTGTGTTCAATCGCATAATGCCATGCTTCAGGCTTGATGCTAAACTCGAAGAGGAGCGGTTATTGCATCGAAAGACACATATGTGGTGTGACTTTTCCGATTGCAGGAACTATCTTACCAAAAGGCCGGCGAGGCACCGGTTGGCCTGTGTTAGGGTTTGGCAGCCATGAAATTAAACAATTTTTTTCAGTTGTTTGAATTTAGCGCGTGAACATTGAACATTTTTGCCAACTCAGATGCCCGGGACCTGCATCCCTCTCTCTCTCTCTCTCTAAATGTAGAATACATTCTGATAGCATGAATGCCTCACAGCCACAACAAACTAGTTTAGACCAGAGAAGGTGAACATGTTGTAGTTCAACAGAATTTCGCAGGCCTGGACGCTTTCGTGTAGCCGGTTAAGCAGAAGCACTTTGTCGGTTCGGGCTCCGATCCGCTTGAACATGCCATTCCGGGGAGCTTTGCCATGACCTCAGCGAAGACTTCCAGCTTGAAAAGTGTCCAGTGTCATGCCTTCATATTCAGTCCACTGTTACTCCAATCGTTTTGTTTTTGTTTGAAGGCCAAGCATTGTAGGATCTAAGAAACAAGTGTACTACTTAATAATATGGAAAGAGCAAGCTGTGAGGATTTTAAGGGAAATCGATCATGGGGTAGCAACGTGCATTTTGCACTGCAAAACATAGCAGTGCGTCGATTGCGTGGAGCAATTTAAAAATAGGACCTACTTGTAAGGCGAGCCGTTTGTTTCTTGTTGACCAGTCAATCCTTCAAACCCAGTGCACTGCTCATTGCACTTTTGCCATTGCTCCGCGCTTCATGGTCTTGAACACCTGCACTGCACTGGAGGACTGGCTTGAAACCCGTCCCACAGACACGACAACCTGTCGTGTTGGGATCTGTGCAGCTGCGAATCCGAGCAGTTGGCCGGGGCGGTGTTTCGATGTTCATGTTTGTTAACCGATCATTGACCGATCATGCACATAATTTTCCACTTCTCTCCGCACCAGGTCTCAACTTCAGAGATGTACTGAATGCGCGTCCGGCTCATCGTTAAAGCCTTGCACCTTCCGGGCTCTAAGCGATCTTTTTCAATTTGCCCTTCGATGTGTTTTCACAAAGAGTGCAGACGCAGGTCCAAAAAAGTCAGCTGTCACAGAGAATTTGAGGATGTCAAAGTAAGTTGCCTAAAGACACGCACGAAATGCCAGGTAATGGGACTGTATCCAGGCGACCCAGGGCCTCCTGGTGCGGACTGCGCTGGCACTGTTCTTGATGTGGGAGAGCGCGTGGACCACCTCAGGACTCAAAAGTGAGGCTGAGACCTAAACCAAAAGTGTTGCCAAAGCGTTCTTGTTCGCAGTTGAAGACATTGCTTCCTTTTTTGGTGTGTGCAGTTTTGCCTTCTGGTCACAAACGAACATGCCTTCACAAGATCCTTTGTGAAGCATCCACACAGGATCGCAGAGGATGTTTTTGGAGAAGCACCTGGATGCCTAAGCACCTATTGTGTAGCTCCTTCGCTGAGCCCTTAATCATGATGTTGCTTCCGAGATGGAGACAAGATGCTTAAGCCTTTGTTGTTTTTGTGAAATAATATTCACCTGTTTGAAGACTTTTGTTGCACTTTGGGTTGGATAAAGCCTGATTTCAGAGGTCTCTCCTAACGCAGAAGCCTCCGAGTTGGTCCTTCGAAGAGGCTGGTCTTTCAGCGATCTTTTTTGCAGCACGTGACAGGGTCTTGTTCTGAGAAAGACTCTAAAAGAAATGCATTGTCACGAGGTTCTTCGACAGGAGGTGACTGTAACAAGCTTGAAGAACTGTAGCTCTGCATATCTCACGTCCGGTAGTTTCATATTTGGCATTTTCCAAAAGCACACACACAACACACTCACACACACACATATAATCACATATATATATATTATTTGTTTTTTGAAGATTCAAGCTTCGCATCTGAGAAAAACTAGTGGCAAGACTTCAACATACCAATCAAAGAGTAGGTTTGGCGGGAAGGGACATATGAAGATATGTTTTCACGTTATTTTTGCTGCATAGATGAAGCCTCGTGAGGCCTGCACCATGCCGGTGATCTTTGTCACAGTCGAAGAGGCCCTTGGTGACCTTGCCCGACTCAAGTGCGGGGAGCGAGCCGCACTCCCAGCAGTTCAAGCGCCACACTGTTCTTGATTTGAGGATGTGGAATAGTTTTGGAAAAGGGTGTTGGAAATATATAGATCGAAAAATGAATCTGCTTGCCCCTTTTAGAAACCCCAACACATTTGTTCTATTTTTCGTTAACCGGCCTTTGTGTATTTCTTGAAATAAATATGCTTTCCTCTCTTAGTGTTTCTTGTTCTTGTTTGTGTACAGGTAGCGATAACCCAGATGTTTTGGGAATCATGGGTTTGGCTGTTTCCGCATGTTTCCGCATGTGCTTGGAGGTCTCTACGGGACGGGGGTGTTGAAGAATCAAAACACTGAACCTTGTTCTGGGCGTGGAGGTGGTGTGCGAGAAAGGTCTTTCATTACATGTTGAGACATGCCCTTCCAAAGCTCTGACCAAAAACTTGGAAGACTTGTTCGGGATGAAGCAAGGCGCAAGGGCCAGTCAACTCTCCAAGAAGATCCACATCCCTACCATGAATATTTGCTTGTGGTGAACATCATCACGCGTACGCCACCAACTTGAATCCAAGACAATCCTTCAGAGCCCGCGGAAAGTTTCTTGACCTCCTATCCTTTTGTGGCGTTTCAACTCATTTGCTCAGGGGACTGTATTCATAATATTTCACAGGAGTGCCCAGAATATATCAACTCCTACAAGTTGCTTGGAGCAATCATTCTGGCATGAATACGCAATGTTCTCAATCAATTCCAATGACGTGATGATCTAGGAGTTTTGCACGCAGCTCCGCGCAGATACTTGCTCTTTAACTTGCTTGTTTTTGCTAATGGGCTTAAAACCGCGCGTGTAGTGAAACTGATTTTTCATACAGTCCTTTCGGGGGGGCAAGAACACACACGCAAACACACGCATTGGAATATGGAAGATGGGGACACTGGGGGGTTAGGGGGGAGGGGGGGTTGGGTGGGGGGCTAGTGATGTTCATGTTGTGTGCATTTTTATTAGGAAGCCACACACGCACACGCAGGCTGGAATTCTTGTTCTAGTTACAAAGGGGCCCAAAGGGAAATGAGTGGTGATCATCTTCTCGCAGGTGCGTGCAATCTGCGTCCAGATTCCATATCACAGCAAACTTGAAGTGTCTTCGTTGAGCGGTGACTTCAAGAATGCCCACCGCTCCCCTGCTATCAACAGTAGTAAAAAAGTCAGGCATTACATTCCAAAAGGATCCCTGTGACTTCAAGGGGCACACACACAGACAGGTCGGTACACACAGGTGGTCGGGGTTTGTCAGTTCTTTCTTTAGACGTGGTGGTTGCTGACTGCTTGCTTACTCCGAAGTTTTTCCGTTCGGGGGATTGTCAGATGCTTGAGGTCAGGAGAGCTGTTCATCCACACCGGTGCCATTGATGGTATGTGGCGTTTGTGTAAGGGGTCGGTCCCCACTAGCTTGCGTTCACGTGAAGGTGACGGTATAAACCCAAACATCATGAAGTTCACTCGACAGTGGCAATGGCGCTGGCACCAGAATAAAGGCAATCTTCTGACGAAGCTGGGTCAGAAGTTGTCCCACAGACTGTGATGATGATGCTGGAGGATGAATTTGCGCGCCTTTTTTTGGCACGAAACCACAGTCTCGCAGCACTTCGATGTCAAAATCGCAACGATTTTTGAGTCGTTTTCATGTACGACATGCTGCAACAAACCTTTCACATCAATGCAAAACACGGTCACACACCGGACATTCGTCATCATTGACCACGTGAAGATTTGACAAATGTCCTCAACCGCACGCGCAGAAACGAGCCCGGCGGGTTGTTTTTGATTGTGACAAATGACTCTGGGTTCTTCAACCGCATCAATTGAAAGTCACGACTTACTGGCAAATGTGTATCTTCTAAAAATATTGACCGTGCTTCCACCATCCTGTGGAGTCCACTATATAATCGGACTGAACGTGTGCAAAGAGTTGGTACAGTATCGGATACAAGCAATGTGCTAGTACAGTGTACCTTTTGATCTTACGACGTTCATCAATCACCATCCTGAAGTACATAGAATTTCGGTGCAACTCAATCCCGCGGCACTCAACCCCAAAAAAGTATATAATACATAGAATATCGAGGTCCCTAAAATCATCTGCAAGATTGTGTTATTGAAACACCCGCTTGCCCCGATCGAAACACCGCGCACCAACTTAGATATTCCAAGATATTCCAAGTCCCAAATTGATCCGCTTGGGAATATTCCAAGTAATACCCTGTTCTTTTGGTCAAAGCAGGGTACTTACGGAATGTACTTTGGCGGCTTAATTCCGTATTCTATGTACTAAAGGACGGTTATAAGTCCAGCCGAGCCTTTTAAAGAAGGCATAATACAACACTGATTGCAGCAGACTCCACCGTGCAGTGCATAGTCCTTGTATGTTCTTGTATTAAAACAACAAGAGCCTCGCGTGGTGGAATGTGTGTTTCACAAGCTTTTTGCCAGTCGATCGCACGCAAAATGTGCATGAAACCAGGACCCTTGTTGAAATAGTATCCTGCTAGCAAATTGCTGTTCTCAACTGGATGCCCCATAAGAAACCTGACACCCCCGCCCCCAAGACCGATATACAGTATGTCTTCGGGAACCGTCTCATCGTTCTTGGAAAAACCCTGAAATGGTTGGGGTCAATATTCACCCCACTTAATCCCGCACAAATAACGTCAGTTCTATGTTTGTGGCTATATTCAGCATGGTGCAGAAGATCCTTGGGATTGGTGATTTGGTTTGGAATGCGGTGTAGGCATTCCAGCGCTTGGCTTTTCACTTGGCATTCTGAAATTCACTTGACCAAGCAAAGATGCCTACTCCATCATCTCCGGTGCAAGCAGTTGCGTGATTTTCTTTGTGTTCTTTTCTCATTGATGTATTTTGTTGCTTCCGCAACCTTCACCACGATTTTGAATGCATTGGATGTGCCGAGAGCAAAGCAGAAATGCCGGTTCGGTCAGTTGAACACCGCCTGCAGCGCCTGAGGTCTTGATTCATGCAGCCGCAGGTGGTGTGGGCTTGGTGGCAATACAATATGCAAAATATGTGGGGGCAGAGGTTTTTGCCACTGCAGGGGCGGAGGACGGCACTGTTTACATGTCCACGTTAAAGTTGCCAAATTAACGTTGTTTCAGGAGAAACATCAATATTTGCGAAGCCTGGGTGTGAAATATATTACGAGTAGCCGCAACGGAAGCAAATTTGAAGAAGACATGACAAATTTCCTGGCCAAAGACGGCGCAGCGGGAGTGGATGTCGTTTTAAACAGCCTCAGCCACGACGACTACATCTCGCGCTCCCTCGCGTGCCTGAAAAGTGGTGGCCGGTTTATTGAGATTGGCAAAAGAGGCATTTGGAGCCACAAGCATTGAACTTAGAGCAGCAGTCGCCAGCATTTTGAAGAGTTATAGAACTCAAACCTAAGTGCTCAAAGCAGCTCAGATCCACGGTCTTGAGGCAAATGTGGGACGTTCGTCCAGATGTGATGTATGAGAAGATTGCAGCTGATACGATGATGGAAAAGGAGTCTTGGAGGTGAGGTTTGTCTGATTTTCATGATACATTCACAGGTCATTCGCAGGGACAAATGTTGCGTGGTACTTGTTTCTTTGCAGGTATAATGCATACCTGAAGCGACTGCTGATGCGGGTCGAAGCTGGTGCGTTGAGCCCTATCAACATGCATGTGTTCCAGGGCTTGGAAGAAGGCCAGCGCTGTGTTCTGACAGAACTTCAGCATCTTGGAACTAAAGAGTGCATTGCTGCCCGTTTTACAAAAGCAATTCCCGCTAGGTGTGCACGCACTGCAGTTTCTGCAGCGTGCACAGAACATTGGGAAGGTGGTCATCTCTGAGTCTGAATCTTGGACGGCTCGGGATTTAACAGCTTCGTGCCTGAAACAATTCCCAACCTTCATGTTTTGGCAGCCACATCAGTCCCATAAGGACTTGCTACAACTGCCTTCAATGCCAGTCTTTGTATATATAGTGCTTGTATGACCTCAGTCTTTGAGGCCCAGCAAGATTTGCCAAGATGCTGGAGGCCTTGGTATGCACCTTCTCAGTGGAGGCACTGGCGCTTTAGGAATCGTCAAGACCTGAGGTCTGTGTGTGTGTGAGTCCAGTCCTGTTTCCAAGGAACTTGGCCACATTCACTAAAGAGCTAAACCATTCCACCGAATTCATTGTACAGTCCAGCGTGGGGGCAGCAGTGATCCTTTCAACAGCCACTGCCTAACAAAGAAGCTGTTGATCGGATGTGATATTCGGAGAGGACGCTCTCTGAACGTACCTGCGCATGCACTTTTGGTTTAAACCATACTGTTTAGGCTGACTCTTCCACCTTACCGTTGCGAGCAGGGCCATTTTTAGGTTTCAGGTTCCAGCGCTCTAGATGGGTAATGCAGTAACTAACTTTCGGGAAGTTCCAAACTGATATGGCTTTTGCGAGCATGGATCTAAGTGTGTTTCGCAGCATCGTTCCACTGCGGTATGCTGTGTGATCCCTACGGGGCGCGTTGAGCACAGACCCTCAAGGGTGATTATTCAGTGCATTTTCGTTCCTGCACAACTCTCACTGACTCAGCTGTTTGCTCGAGATTGCTGATATGAAGCTGCAGAGCTGCCTGACAAACTTTCCCAGAATGTCATGCCATGCCGCTAAGTATTCACCTGTACAGTACCATGACATGCCGCTAAGTAATCAAGTTCCGGAGCAGGTTCCGGAGCACGTTCCGGGGGAGGTCGGGGGGGTTCGGGAAAATGACCCCTGACCAGGTTCAGGGGGTCCGGAGCAGGCTGGACCAGGTTCTGGAGCAGGAGGAGGTTTTGGCAGGTTCTGGAGCCAATTGCGCAAAAAGGTGCCAGAGCTTCTGGAGCAGGTTTCGGAGCAGTGTGGTTGATAATTTTACACCTTCACTGGTTCTTCTTTGCTTTTTTGGGGTTCGATGCTTGAATCTTTTGACGTGGGCCCGCCGTGAAAAGTTATAAGCAGCATGAAGCCTGATGGTTTGCCCAAAAAATTTTTCAAAAGCGCGTAGCTGTCGGTGATTTTGCTTGGGCTTATGTTTTTCAAAACCCCGTGATCTTATAACACCAGGTTCCCTACATTAGCCACCACTCACAAAATAGATAATCATCATCATCATCATCGTCGTCGTCGTCGGCGGCGGCGGCGTTGTCTCCATCTAAAATTTTTCACAACGGCAAAGTTTTAGAGTCTTCAGCCATAGTATAGATCGTTGCAGGCCGGAGCAAGCGCCGGAGCTGGTTCCGGAGCAAGGAGGTTTCAGATCAGGTTCGGAGCAGGTTCTGGAGCAGGTTGCGGAGGAAGGTTTCGGAGGAGGTTGCGGAGCAGGTTCCGGAGGCGGGTTCCTGAACAGTCTCACGAGCAGGTTCCGGAGGAGGTTCCGGAGCACAGAGCGATGATCGCGTGAAACGCTCAACGCGCAGTCAATCTGCAAAAGGTTTTGCGCAACTAAAATCGAAACATCATGAAGATTCAAACCATCGCAGCATTCTTGTGACTTTTTCGTAGTTGCTTTTTCGAACATCAGATGACGTTTCGCAGCATTGCAGCAATGAGTGCGGCGGCTTGGTGGGTTTCCTGGGAATCTTTGGTTTGTGACAAAAACATACAACACGCTTCTAGCTGTTAGCTGACTTTCCTTGAATTTCTTTTTGCAAATTCTGCACTGAAACCTCTCACCCTCCAGCAGACACTTCTACTGGGAAGAATAGCCTTTGACCACAGCTTTCCATGAAGATTCAGTGAACTTTCATCGACGTGCTTCAAAAGTCTAAAGGCTGAAAGCCTCAGCAATCATATCATCTCAACTTTCACAATTGCCTGCCACTACTACTACTACTACTACTACTACTACTACTACTACTTCTGCTACTAGTGCGACCACGACCACGACCACGCCCACGACCACGACTACGACCACGACTACGACCACGACCACGACTACGTCCACCACCACTACTACCACCACCACCACTACTACTTCCACCACCACCACCAACTGCGTAGCGGCTTCATAGTCTGTTCTAACGGCTCAATAGCTTGATGTAACGGCGCAACGGCTTAATAACTGTTGTCAAAACGTAACAGCTTGATACGAAACGCGGGACCATGCTGAGTACACCCCGGAAAAGCACAAAGAAACAAGTTGACCTTTTACTCAAATGTTGTTTCTTGTTTTTTTCGCCTCCATCCTTAAGTGTCTTAAGTGCAGACGTGTTGTTGCAGCTTGAGGTGACCGCGCAGTTTTTGGCAGAAGAAGGAACAAAAAACCTTTGCCTCCTTTCACGAAGTGGGCGTGTGCCAGCAGAGGTGCGGATGAAATTTGAGTCAAACAGTAAAGGAATGATTTGTCTTTCTTCCCTTGCCACAAATGAGGTGCAAACACGTTGGGATTGGCTGCAGGCGCAATCCAAGCCCAGCAGCTTTGCCAAAAGCATTTTTGTTGCTTGAGGTTCTAGGCCAATTCATCTCCCTCGTCCAGTCAGTGCACCTCACTGCAAATAACAATTATATAATAGGACTGATGCGCAGAATGAGATGATGCCAAGCTACCAAGCTCATCATCAGTGTAGCCCAAGCTCCAAGTCAATGGGCTTGGGTGGGATTGTATCGCAACACAGGTTCCCGATTAAACCGATTAAAATTTTGGGTGAGGCTGTAGTCAGTAGTTTGTTACAGTTTCTTTTCTTTTTTTCGGACTGGCTTCCGATATGGCTTTTGCTGGAGCCAGTGTCCATGTGGAGGCGAGTTGCGTCCAAGTTGTCATCAAGCGGGGGGACGTGTCTGAAGAACATGCTGTGAAGATGCTCAGCAAAGACCTTGGCAAGTCAGGCGCAGCAATCTTATGTGCACTTGATTGCAGAAATTCACAGCTTATCTTCCCAAGCAGGTCCATGCATGTCCCTGCTGCACTTGGCGGGTGCATTAGCTGATGCGATGCTTCCAGCTTTGGACAGAGAATTGTTTCAGAAGCGCCTTGGCAAGTCTTCCACTTTAGTTCCCCAAACAGTGTGGCCACACTAGGGGTTCTTATGGTAGGTGTCAGATTGATCGGAGGTTCTCATCGGCGTGCGCGGCTAATTCGCTGCTATTTACAGCGCGCTCATTCACGTGGAGATCTTAAGTGCATTTCGACTGCGCAGGCTCGTAGAATCTTGTGGGCTGGCCCGGGTGCTCTTCTCGACTGCGCTCTCGTTATTGTGCCGCGTGCGTTTTTGGAATTTCGTGGCAGGCACCAGCAGAACCGCGTTTTTTTTTGGTGGTCCCAAGTTGACGTGGATGGTCGATCAAGAACAAAGCTTCTCCTGTACGGAATTGGCTGTGGTGTTCCATGCTTCAGGACATCGCGCACAAAACGATTTCTAAACGCAGACCTTTTTTCACCTGTACAAGGCCATACGCGAGTGTATGCAACACATCAGCAAAATGCCTGAGTGCGACGGACTTTTGTGACAGGTGCAGGCAGGAGATGAGGTTTTGTGTCGATGTGCAGGCTTTGTGGCCGGCAGGTTTCGTGGCAGATTTCGTGACAGGTGCAGCGCTGAACTTTGAAGTGCAGATTTCGTTGCAGGCGCTTCAAGTGCATTTTGTGCGGCTGCCGCAGTGCTTTGTGTGCACATTTCGCGACAGGGGCAGTGTTTCGTTTCTGTGCACCATCACCACCGCCACCATCACCACCGCCACCATCACCACCACCATCACCGCCACCACCATCACACCACCACCACCACCACCACCACCGCCACCATCCAGTCCAATATTCGTTTCTGTGGTTTCGAATGCCTCACTGAAAACCCGCGCTGAGCTACTATTCTTTCGAAAACAACTGGCCAATAAAAAATATAACATCACAGGGTCCACAATCCCCGAGGTCATCAGGAAGATTCAGCCCGAACTGTTTCAATGTGAGAGGCTGACCCAGTTCGTGGTTCCATCCGTGAATGAACATCGCTTCAGAAGTTTGCTCTTTATTTGGGCAAGATCGGATCGAAGGTTCGTGCCAGTGAAATCACGCGTTTGTTGATCGATGTTCTCACGACTTCATCAGGTGGTTTTGCGCAACTGAGTTATCTTAAAGAGGTCAAGAATCTTGGAGTGATTTCTGTGACCCGAGAATTTGACGTGAAGCTCGTGCGATCCTGTTTGATTGACTGGGTTCGTTCAATTCCTTCCGAGCACTGCCATGTTTTGGTTTTGATTTGGTGCAGCCCGCCATGCACAGGAGGCAGTCTCCTTTGAACTTGATCAGTCCTCCAAGGCGAACCGACTTAATGTCATCCGCCGAAGGTATCATCGAGCGCAAGTGCCCAAGACATCAGAGGATCAATCACCAGCATCTTGAGGGCCTAGGAACATATCCACTGAGTTTGGCACTCTCACAGCAGATCGGCTCGTGGTTCCTAGGCAAGACCATGAGTTCAGTGGCAGCCGCGTGAAGGGATGAAGAGATCTTGAACCCATATCATATCAGTGCTTAAAACGCAATCATCATTTGGGATGTTTTAGCGCAATATGTTTCTCTATGTCTAGAAGACTCTTGTGAAAACGCACACAACGTGTGGATACATTTCATCCTTGCTTGAAGCACCAACGATGGCTCCGAAGTCTCGAGTTATGATTTCGGTTGACTTTCCTTCGCCTGTGGAAGTTGAAGTGAGAGTTGGCGCCGGAAGCCAACAACGTCGAGATCAAGATGCCGACACCAAAGTTCATCGAGAAGTCTGAAGCTCCTGGCCGAAAGACCAAGGATCCAAGCGCAAGATCATTCAGTGACCATCAAGTGAAAAAGTCAGGTGGACCAGAGGGCACTGACAGCTCTCTGCCTTGACCTCTCGTTGAGTCGCCGCCCAGGCCTTTGCCGACATCAGAGTCCACTGTAACTTCAGATTCATCCACTCTGAGGGTTCGATCCTACTTTCATTGGAGCACTTGCGGAATGGTGAGGAAGAAGCAGAGGGATCAATTATATATATATATATCATATATCCCTCACTTCAGCTGTGCCCCAATTGCAATCCAAATCAGCCAATCCGCGCTGACCAAAGGTTGGCGTTATTCTCGGCAAGGCATCCCCAGTGAATGCACTCTGTCGGCAGAGTGCTTAGAGAGCTATGACCGCTTGGTCTCTGGGCGCCGGCATGGCCGGCAGTGTATCTTTGCTTTATAAAATCGTTTGATGGTTGTGCGAGTAGGTGATAAATTGAACTTCGCTTTTTTGGCAAAATTGCGCTGGTGTCTTCACCATCTTCATTTGATTGCTGCCATTGCCACTTGCATCCTCTCGATTATAGGTCAGTTCAGACCATGATTCGAGCAAGCTTTCAAGAGCTTCAAATGCATAACTCCAACACGCATGGTTGCGGGGGGTGTGAAAGGTTGAACTTCATGACCCCTCCATGTCCAACCATTCGTGTTCTCATATTGGCCACCGTCCGTTTGCTCGGAGCAAATCAGTCTGGTTGCATATCATCAGGCCTGTTTTTGACCACGGTTTTTGAGCAGCGCGATCCGTCGCAGCCGGATGGCACAAATCAGAGAAGTGTACCAAGTTCGTCCTTGGAGCGTGGTTCCAACAATGACACGCGCCAAACCGGCGTGGCTCAAGCGTCAAAAAGACGCATCAGGGTTGAGCGGAGATCGCGAGTCGTTCCATTAGATTGCTTCACCACCAGCATCACCACCCTCACCACAATCAGCATCACCACCATCACCACTATCGTCACCACCACCACCACCACCCCACCACCACCACCACCCCCACCACCCCCACTACCCCCACCACCCCCACCACCCCCACCACCCCCACCACCCCCCCCACCCCCATCATCATCATCATCATCACCACCATCACCATCATCACCACCGCCACCGCCATCACCATCAGCGCCGCCATCACCACCATCATCATCACCATCACCATCCTAACACCATCCTAAACACCATCACCACCACCATCACCACCATCATCACCACCGCCACTGTCACCACCATTATCACCACCATCATAACCACCAGCATCACCACCATCACCCCTCTCTCAACCCCAGCCTAGATGTCCAAACCTTCCGTTTCTGCACCTCTAGAGTTTAGACCTTTAGATACACTGTTTGGGGTCTCTTGCCGAGATAAACTTTCCAGCTGTCATTGCCAGAATGCACCCTTGTCATTAGAGAAGCAGTCTATCTATCTCAAGGAAAACTGCAAAACCCTTTGTTGTCTTGTGTGGTGCCCCAATGATTCCACGGAAGCCGCTTTACGATTGCCATAGGTCGTATGGACCAAAAATCCATGGCCTGCGCCATATCTTGCGTCACGTGGATTTCAAGGAGTGACCAAAATGAGAAGGTTGGCAAAACTTGCAATTCCGGTGTGACTTTCAATGTCATTGCCCATGTCTTTTTCCTCAAGATTTTGACTTCTGGCTTTGCAGCAGGACTCGGCATCTTTTGTGCTGTTCTCATCAACTTCTTCCCTGTTTGGTGCTCCAGGATTCTTGGTTGAGTCATTCAGATGGATTGCTGGCCTGCAGTGAATCAAATCGGGTGTTGTACCAGGACAGGGCAACTACGCAGCGGCAAATTCCACACTGGATGCCTTTGCTCCATATTGGTCTGCAAGAGGAAGCGATGGCCTTGGGGACAAATCATTTGAGGACAAACCATGACGACAAACGATTTGGGGTCGCTAGTGCGATTTCAGGTCCAACGATCGCCGTTCAGTGGGGCCCATGGGTCTGGAGCTTAGGATTCAATACCTTTGATTCAACATTTCATGTGTTTTGTGTAGCTGCAGCGAAGCGTCGCGCGTTTTTCTCGCTGCAAAATGAGCCTGTATGTTGCGGAATGACATGTTAGTCATGTGCACAGCAATGCGGTCAAGACTGTTTGCTAGAATAGTCCGTATGTTCTGACATGCTGCCTTCTTGACACTGTACACTGGGCTGGACTTCGTCCGCCCTGGAACCACTGGCGCTGTCGGTGGCTGTGGTATACATCACCACATCCTGACTGCCGATGACAAGATAGCGCTCTGCTGGCGCTGGAATGTCAACTGGTTTTCACTGGCTTCAAATGCTTGGCGTAAAGCTTCAAGCTTCTCTAGGTCCTTTTGACCATGAAGCTTATCGATTCTCTGGTAGCGCTTGTAGACGATGTTTGGGTCATCTTGCTCTTCTGTCTGGCAGTCTTTGTTGTCTTTCCCCATCATGATCATCATGGCTCTTCTCCTTCATGAACCATTGGAGAAATTTCCACATGCCCATAGCCACGCTCAAGGCTCCAACCACCTTGACAACTAGCATGTTCGACATTGCATAGTCAAGCCATGTGCTTCCTTCATTTTCTCCTCTGCCCTCACCGGTCATCAAGCTGAGTAGCATCACAAGTGCGGTTCTCATCTCGCCCTTGTTGCTGTTCACCACTCTATTCACCTTCTGTTGCATTTGCATCTTCTGTTCTGTTTGCTTGTACTCACTCCCCGATCTCAACATCGAACTCATCCACCAAGTTCAAGATGTAGGCCAAAGCTTTCAGCCTGAACTGACTCAAACTCTTCGTTCCTGTGTAAGGATTCAACCTCGGGGATCGGTGTTATCTCGATGCTGTTCTGAACCTTTTCCTGAATCCACATCATGCCCGAGTCAATGTGTCTCACCCTGCCAACTCCTTGTCGTGATGTCATTGACCTTGCTGCTGATAAGTCACTGCGTGCCTTGATTCTGGGACTTGATCCCAACATGAACTCGACGACATGCTTCATAAACAAAGCTTCTGAGCATCCTGCCACTATGGCAGTGAATTCGGCTTCACCACTTGAAAGTGCCATCGACTTTTGGCTTCGAACCTTTGATTCAATCAGACATCCATCCAGGAATATGTGAAGGCAACTCAAACTTTTCCTGGTCTGCTTGCATCCTGCTAGATCTGCGTCCGTGATGACTTCAATCAGGTGGTGCTGCTGCTCTTCAATGTCATGGATTTCTCGATGGTCCAGCACTGACCGTCCTTTATTGGGTCTTCTTCAACTTGATGCCATACTTTGCTGTACCGTTGAGGTAGCTTGCCAAATGAGTCACATGTTTCACCTGGGTATTCAATGGCTTCGACATCATCCTTGCAAGCATATTATGTATTGCATACTGTGCGTTTGGGCATTCACCACTGATGTACATCATCTTTCCAACGCAACTCCTGAACTTTGTGCAATCTTTGCTGTCAAGCTCTTCACCATGCTGCACGTTGTTGATGTCTGTTGCACAAGGAATGGCTTTGGGTTTCTTCTTCCCGACTCCTCACATCTCTGTCAACTCCTCTACGTGTTACCATCTCGTGTGATGCTGTACTTTCGTTTCAAGTACATGAACTCATCAATGTTCTTGAACGGTCCTTCAATGTCCATCTTCCAACCTGCCTTCGTCTTGAGGTAGTCAATGAAGTTGTTCATGGCTGTTTTGCTCCCAAGCAACAACAGATCGTCCACATGAACACTAATCACCAGATCTTTCAACTTGAACAATGTAGGTTGCATCACGTCTGCAACACCTCCCAATGCTCTGACTGTTGCATTGAAAAGCTCGAACCATTGCTTTGCTAGGTAACCATCTGTCCAACCTGTAGTACTTGTCCCTGTACTTGATGGCATTCTTTTCACCTGTTGGCTGCTTCGACATCAAAAATGCGTCTTTCACATCTGCGATCATCAACTGCCATGTGCCCTACATTTGCAGCAAAATGTATGCAAAGATTCGCGGCGCAACTTGTGCTGAAGTTGGTGCAAAGGTATCATGTTCTTCAAACATTGTTCCTCGCTTGAACTGTCTTGCTACCAACCTTGCTCTTCGAAACCATCCGTCGTAACCAGTCTGATTGAGATCAGGTTATATCCTTTGCTTTCTTCTTCACAGATAGCCACAATGGCTGGAGTCTCTATCACCAGAAGAACTTGCCAAGTTGGACGTCATTGCAGAAGACGAGGAGATCCACAGACTCGAAGCTCTGGTGGGTGTTCGCCCTCACCGATGTATCCTTCATTCTTCATTTCATCTTTCGGCTCCTCTTCAAAGAGCTCTTCTTCACCCCAAATGTCTGTGGCCATAATGTCTGGGTCATCACCCACATACTCCCTTTTCACTCGCTTGATGTCACCTGCATAGCTCGGTGGGAACAGGCTTTCTGATCTGGGGCTTCCTTCTGCAATCTCTTCTGCGCTTGGTTTCACCCCATGGTCTTCACCTGAAATCTCTGTCTTCTTTCTTCGATTGTGCTGCCTTGTTGTCATCAGACTTTCTCTTCCTCTCATCAACGTCTTCACTCCGTGTCACTCGATGCTGCCTGACTTCCTTGGCTCGGGATTCCTCCCGATGAAGCCCGGCTTCCCTGAATCAGGATTCCTTCCGATGGGATCACTAGATCTTCATACTTTCTCTTTGCTGATCCTGCCTCAAGTGGTACTGGCGTTTGTGGTGCTCGAAATCCCGGTGTCAGCGGTGCTGCTTGTGGCCTTGGAGTTGTTGGTACTCCTGGCCTTGGTGTCATGCTACCCATATAAGCGCTGGTATCGCCAATCCCATAGCTATTTCCCTTGAAACATCTAGCACCTCTTCCTCAGTGGCATCATACACTGGGATAGCATCTCTTCGTTTTTTCCACCATGTTTCAGGCTGTTGAATTGTTCTGGAAGTCTTCTCACACTCCTGGCTTCGACTGCACCTGATGGTGTCAGAATCACGTGGCAATCTGACCATGTCGACTTGCCAACCTGAACTACTCGTTTGAACACCACATCTCCCTTGTTGGGACTCTGTGCCTTGTACAGCACGCTCTCACCAAAAGCACAAACTGTGCCTTTGTACTGCTTGCCATATTGCAGCTCATAGGATGTCATCTTGTCTGGCTCTAGCACGGATCTAGCACGGAATCGATTGATCAACCATGCTCCTGCCTGAATGGATAGATGTCCGTGTCACCTCCAATGTGGTGGCAGCACCTCTCCTGGCAGAACTCTCTGATGCAGTTGCCCATGCGCCTCACGCTCTGGATTGCTCTCTCAGCTGCTCCATGACTTCTGTCTTGAGACCTAGTCGTGCTCTTGTTTGTTGGATGGCCTTCAAGATCTGTAAACAGCTTCTCTCGCCATCTGCTTGCAGGATCAGGTCTTCCTGGTTGCTGTTGTGGAGGCTGAATCGAACCAATTCTTCGACCGCATGCTTCAAACTGGCCCTTGGCTGGAACTGGAAGTGCTATGACAGCTCTTGTGTCTGAAATCGTTGCAACTAGCAGCGTCCCATGTTGGCTGGGATAGTCTTCTGGCGTCACAAACTCTCCAGGAACTGTCTCGTAGTTCTCGTTGGGGAAGGTGTAGGCAAAATCAAATGACAAAGCAGTCTTTTCGTTGTGATCTTTTGTTTTGTGACTATCTTCTTTGGATCTGGTTGCCAGACATGCCTCACACCATGACTCAAAAAGGAATGTGAGTCAAATTGTGATGATCCTGGACTTCTCTGCTTGGCGTTTTTGGTACTTTGATGGAGACGGCTTTTCGGCTGTTCTCCTCATAGAGTTTCTTTGCGGTGCCAGCTTCCAATTCCCACTGAAGCGTCAAAACTTGAAATTGCGCAATCTTCTTAGCAGCTTCTTCTTCGTGCCACTTGTTGGCAGACCTCTGAGTGAGCACGCCTCTCATAGGACCTTTGCTTCATCCTCCAGCTTGTAGATCTTGTTGTCAATGGCAATCTCCTTGGCTGGATCTCTCTCGTGGTGTTGTGGTTCTTCTTTTGCAAGTGCTGCCTCATCTGCTTCACCTGTCTCATACTCGTCCTCATCATCCCACTCGATCTGGTGAAGTGCATCTTTCACTTTGGGGAAAGGAGCTAGTGGAACTTCACTCCCTTCTTGATAGAAGTCTTCGAAGTCTGACGGTGACCAACATGTCAATGTTCTCTGAGGATCCCATGACGGCACAGGGTACCTGAATGCTTGATCTCCTTGCTCTTTGAAGTCTTTTGTGTTTTCAATCTGTGTCCATATGCCTTCTTGGCCTGGTTTCTTCATGAGGGTCATCCTCTTGTTCCATTTCTCAATGATCATCCCTTCAGGGTTGAGGTACTTGTCAGCTGCTGCATCTGAATACACAGCTACTCCGTTTGGAAGTCGGTGCCAGCCTGGGTGCTTGGAGATGTTCATCAACTCTTTGCTCAAGTATCCCTCAATACGAAGACTCTCTTGGCTGGTGTGTAGTCCAAGCTCTCATGGCTCGTGACATCGTTATGACTTACTTGTTCTTCTCCTCTGTCTCTCCTTCTCTGTTTGTTCTCAAGTCTCCATTGCTCACAGTCATGTCTCTGTAGCACTTCATTTGCATCTTCTTTGCTCATCGTGACCATTTAAATTCTGGCCTTCATGAATGCTGTGATTCTCGAGGTCCAAAGGGATCATTGTCTCTGTCTTGGGATTGCTTCGGGGGAGTTGCATTTTTGGCGCAAAATGTGTTTTTGTTTTTCTTTAGATGTATATATAAAAATTGACATCGTGTGTATGATTGTCTGTGTGGATTCGGAGCTAAAGAATCGCGATGTCGTTTATGCTGCGCGAGAGCGACTGCATTATTGACATCGTGGACTCGTGGACGCGTGTTCTTCCAGGGAGTCTGCTCGAGAGAAACAGGTGATCGACATCGTGTGTGTGGTTGATGCGGACACATTGCCCATCGCTGCGGCTACGGTATATTTCCACTC